CATAATCCTCGTAATTTTAAACATTAAAAAGATGCCTTTTTTGAAAGACAAAAAAGCTTTCCCTAAATGTATAGAAATTAGAATAAGAACGTTTTAGAAACACTTCTTACATAGAAATCTTTCTTGTGAGTCTTACTTTATATACCTTAAATATTTTATTTCCTGTAACAGATAAATCATCTTTGCAAAGGACTGCTTTGAATTTGTTGATGATTCTGATTCTAATCATTCCTGTATTTGAAGACATACATTAAACATGATCAAATAAGAAGTTATAATGTGCACATTTAATCAAAATATGCCATTGTTTAAATATGAAGAAAATAAAATTAACTTAAGGCTCTTTTTATACCTACATTATGGGAAAATTTTATATTAGATTTTGTGACCACAATCTTCCACAAGCTGGAGGACAATCAGGAAGCCGATGAGACATTGCTGGATGTGATTTATAGATATATTACTTACTTTCCAACAATTAAAGTAATTGAGAGTGCTATGTGACTTGCAAAAATGTTTTACCATCTTTTAATTTGCAAAACAACTATTTGATAGGTAGAAAAATTATTATCTTAATGTTATAGATGAGAAAACTAAGACACAGAGAACCAGACGGAGTTACCTAAGGTTGCATGACAAGAAAGTGACAGACAAGTACCCCGACTCTAATCATAATGGCTACTCGACAGCATAGTTCTCTTGCTGTACTATGCCTTATCTTCGAGTATAAGTTGATACCATTTTAGTTTAAGGATTTGCTTACCACTATTTTGCAGTGATGTTGAGGTGTTCAGAATAAGACTTAACATTTGTCAGCAGCATCACTTAAAATTGGAAAGATTCAGGATTCTGAAAGGTATTGAAGAACTACATGAAAGAGTCAGCTTTTTGAAGTTCTGGTGTGCAAGTTTTCTGCAGATTATAAAGGCATGGATATTTGCTTGCTTTCCCAACTCTTATTGATCAAATTTCCCTTGAGTACTGTTCACTTATCCTTTGAAGTAAGTGATAGTTTGGCTTTTGTCATCTCCAATATCTCATTTTTAAATGGGATCAGACTGAAATTCTTTTTATAAGAGGGCTTAATAATTCCATCTGCTAAGATGAAGGAAGATAATTTATTTTTACCATTAGAAGCTTTTGACAGATGGACAGGCTAGTTTTCTTGATTTACAAAGAGCTCATTCAAATAAATTAAAAGGTGAGCAAGCCAATAGAAAAATGGATATAAGATATGATCATGAACCTTATAGTACAAAAATACAAATGGCCAATAAATATAGGAAAGATGCTTATAATAAAAGAAATGAATAGCAAAACAATGAAATACCTATTACATGGAGGGGGGGCAGGAAGTTAGATGGTACTTACTCCTGGTGAAGGTTTGGGGGAACAAAGGCTCTTGTATCCTACTGATGGAAGTGTAAATTTGAATACCCTTCTGGAGGGCAGTTTGTTATTACCTATAAAAATTTTAATTGCATATATCCTTTGAAGGAACGATCCCATCACATGGATCTTGCTATACAGATATATTGATGGAAGTTCACCTAGATTCTATGGATATCAAATTTCATCAATTACAGTATTATCTGTAATGGCAAAAAACTATGAACAATCAATTCCTATCAGTAGGAAATTGGCAAAATAAAAGAAAGAAGGTCCATAGATACAAATACTGGTACATAAAAGATAATGTAGATCTATATGTGGAATGTTTTTCAATATTTGGTAATAAGTTTAAAAAAAAAACAAGTAAAGAGATATATAGTATGATCCCCTATTCAATAGATTAAAAAAAAGAAGAGAAATAAGTAGAAAACTACATATGAACACATGCACACGCATAGATGCATATACAAGTCCCTCTGTGTCCTGAGTGAATCACAAAACACTATTGAGTAGCAATTCCCTCTGATGTGAAAGCCTGGACAAGAAGGAGTCAATTCGCGTGAGGGGATGTGGCTTGTCATTTCATTTTGTGTGTTTGCCTTGTTTGAATTTCTATTTTCTAACCAGATACATATATTATTTTCTGTTTAAGTGTTAATAAGGAATGTCTTCTCTCCATTTCAGTAAAGTGGAAAAAAAAAATAAAAAGGAAGAGAAGGACAAAGAAAGGGGTTTTGTATTGATAAGGAAAATAAACACATAAACAGTCCTTTCTACAAAGTAAATTCACAGTTCTCTCCTGTCCTAATCTAATAAAGGCCTTGCATTTTCTACATCCCCTCTTGATTCTCCCCTGTGGCATAAAATGACCATCTTGCCATGGATTATGTCCTTGAGCATCTGCAGATGCTCTCACATCTCGAATGACAATTCACATCAAAGCAATCAGGGATCTTGGTCACTGGAAATTGTATCTTTTTTTTTTTTTAAGATTGTATTTATTTATTATTAGAGAGAGGGAGTGCACACACGAGAAAGAGAGAGAGAGCACAGGAGCAAGGGTAGAGGGAGGGGAGAAGTAGACTCCTCACTGAGCAGGGAGCCTGATATGGGACTCGATTCCAGGACCCTGGGATCATGAACCTGAGCTGAAGGCAGAAGCTTAACTGACTGAGCCACCTGGGCGCCCCCTGGAAATTATATCTTAAAACTCACCACTAGGACTTCCTTTCTTTCTCTTGCCCTGGCAAGTAACGCACCTGCTGTGAGGCATCTTGTGCTTGTACCATGATATTGGTTTTCAAGGAATGAGGATGTATTTAATATGCAACAGGATCATATTAGTGCAAGTCTGAGCCATGACAAAGGCTTTCTCCTTGACCGAGCTGTAGTCAGGCTCTTCTGAACCCTCTTCTCAGCCTGATCTCAACTTCGGCCTTGCAGACTCTCAGCACAAATGATTTCGTCCGTTCCCATCTACTTGAATCAACTCTAGCACAGTTTCTAACAGCTCAAGGCCACTCTCCTAGGTTTACTCCAGCTCCTCTGAAGGACCTGCCTGAAAAAGCTCAGTGCTTCCCAGAGAATTTACTATTTATTCCAGGCCAAACCCCAGTGATAAGCAGATCAGCCCCTGAAATCCATCTTCAGGTAAATTCTTTAGAAAGCTTGCAATTGTCAATTTTTTCTCTGCCCTTTGAGAGATAATTCTACCACCCAACTGTTTTCTCAGGGACCTGAGAGTCTTTGGAATGCGAACACTCAGGGAGATGACTCTGCTAACAGATTCTGTGGAAGGGTCAGGGCCTACATTGGGGGCTGTCTTGCTTTAACCTGCATGATGCCTCCTGTGGGTCATAAAGATAGGAGATGTTTGCTTCTCTTCCGCTAAACACTAATTAACAAATCCAGATGATCTAGTCACATGGACCAAGCTCCCTTAACACCCTTCAGTGTCCTTTCCTTAGCACCCTCCGGCTTCTGCCTTTTGGCTGCATTGAGTTCAGTTCACATTGGGTTCTTTTTCCTATTGCAATAGTTTGTGACTGCATAAAATCTGCCCTCACAGCTTTAATTACTGCCTGGCTTTATCTTTAACAACAGGTCTCAGTGAATATCAGGTGATCGGGTCTGGACCCCAGAAGCTCCACAATGATCTTCCAGATTTCACCGGCATGATATGCCCCACCCCAACCAGTCCACTCCTATAATTCAACCTAAGCCATTATTATCGAATTGGAAATCACATAACTACTTTTGGTCCAATTATCTACCTATTTCATTTCTCTTCTCTTAGGGCCCCATACGAGGGGTGTCACACCAGGGCATCCATCAGAGCAAATATTTTTAGGACAGAGATAGAGTTGTTCTTTTTTTTTTTTTTTAAGATTTATTTATTTGAGAGAGAGAGAGAGAGAGAGTGCAAGAGAGAGCACGCACTGAGCAGGGGTGAGGAGCAGAAGGAGAGGGAGAAGCAGACTCCCCAATGAGCAGGGAGCCTGATGCGGGGCTCGATCCCAGGACCTTGAGATCATGACCCAAGCCAAAGGCAGATGCTTAACCAACTGAGCCACCCAGGTGCCCTGGGATAGATCCTTCTTTCTTCTCTTAGTGCAACTTCTGCTACTGAAATAATGGACTTTGAGGGACTTGGAAAATGTGCTTATATTATGTTGCCTTATTTGATTTGGCTTTTCAAAGATTAAATTCTTTTTTTTTTTCTTAAAGATTTTATTTATTTATTTGACAGAGAGAGAGATAGCGAGAGCAGGAACACAAGCAGGAGGAGTGGAAGAGGGAGAAGCAGGCTTCCCGCCGAGCAGGGAGCCCGATGTGGGACTCGATCCCAGGACCCTGGGATCATGACCTGAGCCGAAGGCAGACGCTTAACAACTGAGCCACCCAGGCACCCTCAAAGATTAAATTCTAAAACTTGTGCAGATTTATAAACATGCAAAAACAGTCAGCAAATGAAGTTTGTGTTTCAGTGATTTAAATTAACTTTGTATTATTTTGTGGGACTATATATAAAGAAAATGTTCTCTAGAGTCTCCTTTATAGGAAAGAAGGTGGAGTTACTTTTTAAACTGCATTTTAAGCTCCAGAAGGAAACATTTTAAACATCTATGAAAGTAGAATAGTGTATTGCACCATTCTCTACCCATCAGTGTTACAAATTACCATAGTGTCCTATTTCTTTTATTATTTCCCCCTGAATATACTATATTTCTAATGATAATCTTTACAAAAAAGAGCTAACTTCTTTTTATTTTTCTGTGTATTTTTATTTAAATTCTAGTTAGTTGACATAGAGTGTTAGTTTCAGGTGTACAATATAGTGATAGAACACTTCCATACAACACCCGGTGCTCATCACAACAAGTGCACTCCTTAATCCCCATCAGCTATTTATTTATTTATTTATTTATTTTTATTATTTTAAGTTTTTATTTAAATTCTAGTTAGTTGACATATAGTGGAATATTGAGTAGAATTCAGTGATTCATCACTTACCTACAACACCCAGTGCTCATCACAACAGGTGCACTCCTTCATCCCCATCCCCCATTTAGCCCACCCCCCACCCACCTCCCTCCATCAAGCTTCAGTTTGTTCTCTATAGTTAAGAGTCTCCCGTGGTTTGCCTCCCTCTCTCAAAAAGAGCTAACTTCTAAATTGCGCCCATGTTGATGGTGTACCAGCTGGGTGTCCGTTCTCCTTTGGTAGGGATACCTGTTGTTCAGCATTAAGTGGATGGTACTTGCCAGCCTCAGAAGGTCATGATTTGGGTTTTATTCCAGGAACAGTGATGCATTTGGGCTGAGTTGTGTGCTGTGTCCCCTTCAATCTCCCTCCTAACTGACCAGCACAGTTTCTTAGGTCTTGGGTAGGTTTAAGAAGTATACTTAGAGCCATCTGAAAATTGACTCATGGTACAGCACAATGGCTAACCTAGCCTCAGAAGCCCACCCCTTAGCCTCACGATTTCATATAGGCCATGCTGGGTGTGATGTACTGTTTCATTGATAATAGAAAGAGGGCTTTCAAGTTTGAACTATAAATCCAACTGTAAGCCATTTAATTCCTCCATAGCATGAGGACATTTACACAGGGACATTTATTTCAGAGGAAAAGGTCTTACTAAGATTATATTAGGGCCTTATTTTTATTTTGAATGAACTGTATCAAAGGTCCAGACTACAGGATTAAGTACACACAGGAATAAAAATTAATTATTGCAATGTGTTTATGGCATGGTTATTTTTTTGCTCCATAACTATGTTTATGCATAGCCACTTAAATACATCAAGGCTCCATCTTAACTGACGTGTTTAGAAGAAGCTCATTGGCAAATAAGAGAGTTCATGAGAAGGGAAGGGGTGATTTACTATTTATTAATATGAGTACTGGCAGCCAGTTATTGTTTTATTAAAAAAACAAAGGCATTGGAAAAATTGCCATGTTTCCACTGTTGTTAGTTGTCCTTGATGCAAATGACTCTCCATGTAAAGTCCAAGACACCTGCTTTCACCATGACCTCCTCATTTTTTATGTAAACATGAAGCAAAACCTGACAATGGAGTCAACACAATCAGGGTGTTGGATAACACTGGAAATGAGGGGCTCCTGGGTGGCTCAGTCAGTTGAGTGTCTGTCTTCGGCTCAGGTCATGATCCTGGAGTCCCGGGATGGAGCCCCACGTCGGGCTCTTTGCTCAGTGGGAGCCTGCTTCTCCCTCTCCCTGCCACTCCCCCTGCTTGTGCTCTCTTTCTCTCTCTGTCAAATAAATAAACAAATAAATCTTAAAAAAAAAAAAAAAAACTGGAAATGATCCATGCTCGTGTTGTTCCCTCCAACCTCCCTTCCCTTTCCCTTCTGCTCTCAGTAGTACCAATAGTGAGAATCTGCTGGCATAATCCCCGCCAGGACTGGGGAGACATAGAACAGCAGTGCGCACCTCTGAGTGTTCTCCCAGATGAGGAGCTGCAACTTTTTACATGTTTACTCTAACAAGTGTCTAGGAAAGATGACCAGTTGAATAATTTTCTGCTTAAATCAGATGCTAGGAGTCTGAGAGGAGGCAAAGGACAGCTATTGCCTTGTGTTTGTTAAAGCGGGCATTTGGGGAGCATTCTGAAGGGAAGGATCCATCGGGGGTATTTTTGCTCAACCTAAGGAGTGGACTGTTTGGACGAGTTTCAGATACTTTTATCTGCCATGTCATTAAGTCACAGTGGCTTGACAGTTTTGCTGGATGAGTCATGTTTTAAGTAATTGGCAGGAGTTGGGACGTCCCCAGTCCTAGAGTAAGAATATGGTTCCTCAATTAGAAAAATAATTCACGGGTGCCTTGGTGGCTCAGTCGTTAAGCGTCTGCCTTTGGCTCAGGTCATGATCCCAGGGTCCTGGGATCGAGTCCCACATTGGGCTCCCCACTCAGCAGGAAGCCTGCTTGTCCCTCTTCCACTCCCCCTGCTTGTGTTCCCTCTCTCCTCTCTCTCTCTGTCAAATAAGCAAATAAAATCTTTAAAAAAAAAAAGAAAAGTAATTCATATTTATAAATACCATCAGGATGCCTTCAGGTTTTAAAAAATGTTCTTAGCAGATGATCATTCTATGCTAAAGACTGAGCATAACAAATATGATTGTTATAATAAAATATAATGTATGCTTTGATCTAACATATAAGTAATGTGTATGGTTGCTGTGCTGTATCCCAGTTCATCATAGTTGACTGTTAATGTAACTAACAATTAACATAAACTTTTACCCTGATATGGCAGTTCTGTATCTGTAAACAAAATCAAGTAAAATAGTTGTAATAATATGTTATTTTAACTTTCTGAATGTGCAATCTGCTCATTGCCATCAACATTTTTATCCTACTCATCAAATATATATTTACAGTTATGATTAAGCAATTCCCATAACACCCAAAACATAAAAACAATTGGGATAAGAAACATAATGTTAAGTAACCTTATTCTGTTTTCCTGTTTACCCTTCCCAAAAGCATTTTACAGAAAACTGAGTAAAGTACATTAAGTGATATCTTATATTTCAGTGTATATCTTATTAACTCTGTTCTTTAAAAATATAATTTTCACTACTTAAAAAAAAATTATCCAAACAAAAGTTTTTCTGCTCCTATAGCTTGGTGGCTCTCCATTCCCTGTTTGTGAGTAGTAGAATCTTATCTACAAATGAAGTTTTATTTGAAAATCCAATATGTAATAGTGAATCATATGAAACTGCTCTGGTTGAAAATGGGCAGAGGGCGCTCAGAGTCCTACCTACTAAGTGTCTCCTGTGGGCAGAACTCAAGACTTCCTGCCTAGTGTAGACTGAAAACCACTGCTGCAGCCCATCATAAGGAAATGTGTTCGTCAACCGGTACCAGGCAGGTCAGTCCGTGTGCACTATCCTGTTGGAGTTGGCTGTCATGGATAGGTCTTGTTCTGTGCCCGCCAGGTACCCTGCCCTCTGCTGGGATTCTTCAGAGTTCTTGCCAGACACATGGTCCCTTGTCCATCCTTTGTACCTTGTGATTCTGCGACCTTAGCCACAGGTGATTGGACTAGGGATGGGCACCTGATGTAAAGACACTTATCTATAGGCTGCCCAGTGACCTGGCGTAAGAATTATGCCCAAAGGGACACTGCATTCTGGAGGGTCACTCATTAACCTATCACTATCTGTAGGAAATTTGAACTTGGGATGTACAGAGAGGAATGTAGTAGGGAAATATACAGCAAGAATACAGAAAGCAGAAAACTTGAGACAACATGAATTGGAGTTAGTTATGGCAGGAGAAGTGGAAGAAAAGAAGAGAGCAGGTGGGTCATAATGAGGCAGAGCACTGGGGAAGGAAGGAGCTGTCCCCACTTCCGTTCCATTGCCAGACAGTTGGGACCACTGACCTGCCATGAAGGAAATTCTGGGATGGCTTCCCGCAGTTCCTCACTTTCCTGTGTATCCTTATAGAAATCTCTATCACACAAGGTTACCTAAGCACGTTCTGCAGATTTCAATCTGAAAAGGCCTGACTAACGCCATTGGGTAGTTTTCCTACTTTAACACACTTATAATTTAACTCAGGAGATCATATGTGCCACCAGGTTTAGATACCAGACATGTCTATACCTCAGGCCTCAGAATATCAAATGCAAGGCATGTGCTCTTCCAGTTCCACATCTGCACCCCTGGCAGACATCAATAATTGAACATGACCCTTTATTTTACTGTTGAGACAGGAATCAATTTCAGAAACTTTTTCAAGTAGTCCACTAGGTAGTTTATCAATCGATATTATTGATGCAAGAGTTGAAGTCTATTTACCTTGTTTCAGTAGGTGTTTTGAGTGGAATTATTTTTCTTTTCTTATCTAGCGGAGTATTCAGGTAGATCTATGGTTTTCAATACTTCCTATGGTATCTGAAAGCTTCAGCTGGGGTATCTCAGGGGTTGACTCTGGGGGAAGGAGAGTAAGGGTCAGAGTGAGATTGAGTAATTGAAGGCCACATAAAAGCTGAAAAGCTCCACTTTTATCTGATATATGTATTGAAGTTCCTGGTAAAATTTTATTTGAGGAAAAGTCTCTGCAACTAAAAACTTTTTTTCCCCCCAAAATCACTAAATTACTGTATCATCAGCAATTGGGCCATAGTGTTCGTACCACCCTAACATTTCATAGGTTGATCTGACTGAAACCATCAACTGGTATAATCAGCCAACTATTTAAACTTCTCATTTCAAGATCTAAATTGGCAGAACAACATTTCTAAGAACTGCTTTCAGGTTTTTTATTAATGAAATACTCTTTCATACATCAATGACTTGGACATCACTATCAGCCCATTTGATCTAATGGTTAACTTACAGAACACTTCACCCAACACCAGAAGAATTATATTTCTTTTTTTTATTTATTTATTTATTTATTTATTTATTTATTTATTTATTTATTTATATTCTTATGTTAATCCCCATACATTACATCATTAGTTTTAGATGAAGTGTTCCATGATTCATTGTTTGTGCATAACACCCAGTGCTCCATGCAGAATGTGCCCTCCTCAATACCCACCACCAGGCTAACCCATCCTCCCACCCCCCTCCCCTCTAGAACCCTGTTTGTTTTTCAGAGTCCATCATCTCTCATGATTCATCTACCCCTCCGATTTCCCCCGCTTCATTCTTCCCCTCCTGCTACCTTCTTCTACTTCTTCTTTTTTTTTTTTCTTAACATATATTGCATTATTTGTTTCAGAGGTACAGATCTGAGATTCAACACTCTTGCACAATTCACAGCGCTTACCAGAGCACATACCCTCCCCAGCGAAGAATTATATTTCTTTTCAGGTCTACATGAAACATTTACCAAGACAGACAATATTCTGAGCCATAAAATATGATTAAATACATTTAAAAGGATTTAAGTCATGCAAAGTACCTTCTCTTGCCACAGTGGAATTAAATTAGAAATCAATAACAGACAGATAACTAGAGAGTCGTCAAATATCTGGAAACTAAATAACACACTTCTAAATACCCCCTGAGTAATAAATTAATTAAAAGGAAATGAGAAAATATTTTGCACTGAAAGCAAATGCAATCAAAACATATCAAAACTTGCGGGATATAGTGGGATTCAGCTGACAGAATTATCAAAGGGTAGTTTCTAGCACAAAAATGCTTATATTCAAAAAGAAGTTTCTGAAATCATTGACTTCAGCTTCCACTTTAAGTATTAGACAATAAAAAGCAAATAAAATCCAAAGTAAACATAAGAAATGAAATAATTAAGATCAGAGTGAGAATCAGTGAAAGAGAAAACAGAAAAGTAACATAAAATGAATGAAACAAAATACTAGTTCTTTGAGAAAATCAATACAATTAATTAAAAAAACCCACCAAACGCCAGCCAGACTGATCAGGGAAAAAAGAGAGGGAAAGAGAGGAAGAGAAGAATAAACAAGTTAAACAATAAACAACATCAGGAATGAGAGAGGTAATAACACTATAGACTCAACAGATAATAAAAAGGATAATAAGGGAATATTACTTCTAAAAAATTTATGCCAATAAATTTGACAACTTAGATGAAATTCTCTGAAAGGCATAAACTATGAAAGCCCATTTTACAAAAAATAAATAACCTAAATAATTCAATATCTATTAAAGAAATTGAATTTGGAATTAAAGCTTTCCCCCGAGGAAAACTTCAGGCTCAGATGACTTCTCTAGTGATTCTTACCAGATATTTAAGAAAGAAATAATACCAGCTTTACAAAAATTCTTCAAGAGAATTGCAGAGGAACAAATACTTCCCAACTCAGTCTAGCAGGCCCGCACTACCCCAATACCAAAAGAAAAGACATTATAAGATAAGAAATCTATACACCAATATCCCTCATGAAATTTAGTGCAAAAATTCTTTTTTTTTTTTAAGATTTTATTTATTTATCTGAGGGAGAGAGTAGGGGCAGAGGGAGAAGGAAAAAATCTCAAGCAGACTCCATACTGAGCACAGAGCCTGATGCAGGGCTCATTCTCACCACCCTGAGATCATGACCCAAGCCAAAACCAAGAGTCAGGGCTTAACTGACTGAGCCAGCCAAGCACCCCCCTTACTGCAAAAATTCTTAATAAAAGTTTAGTGAATTGAATCCAACATTACATAAATAGGATAATACATCATGGCAAATAGGATTTGTCCCAGGAATGCAAGGTTGCTTTAACATTAGAAAAGCAGTAAGTATAATCCACCCATATTAAAAGATTAAAATGAAAAACTGATCATCTCAGGTAGATACATTTGGCAAAATCCATGTGTATTTGGCATTTTGCCAAATCCAACATATATTTCTCATAAGAACTCACAGTAAACTAGGAATAGAAAGGAAAATTCTCAGCCTAAAAAACAATTTTTCCAGAAAAAGCTTACAGCTAACATCATACCTAATGATGAAAGATGACTGAATGTTTTCTTTATATTATTGAAAACAAGGAAAGGATGTCCACTTTCATTCATCACTGAACTAGAGATTCAACTAAAGCAGTAAGAAAAGAAAAAAAAAAAGGAAAAATACTGCTGAGAAAAATTAAAGACCTAAATCAATTGAGAGATATACTATATTTATGGATCAGAAGACCCAATAATAGTAAGATGTAAATTATCCTCAAATTCATCTATAGATTCAACGTAATCCCAGTCCAAGTCCAAGCAGGATTTTTTTTGGTAAAAATTGACAAGTTGACTCTGAACTTCATAAGGAAATGAAAGGACCTAGAAGAGCTGAAACAACTTAGAAAAGGAATAAAAGCGGAGGGTTAATGCAACCTGATAGTATGACATATTATAAAGCTACAGTAATCAAAGCAGCATGATGTTGTTAACATAATAGACAAATAGATCAATACACACATATGGTCAATTGATTTTTGACAAAATTACAAAGTGCAATTTACTAGAGGAAGGATAGTCTTTTCAACAAATGGAAATAGAACAACTTACAATCCATATACAAAGAAAAAGAACAAAAAACCCTCTTCATTCCATACTTTGCACAGTGTACAAAAATTAACACAAAATGAATCATTGATCTAAATGTAAGATCTAAAATTATAAAACTTGGATAACATAGAAGAAATTCTTTGTGACTTTAAGTTAGGCAAAGATTTCTCAAGTGTAATACCAGAAATAAGATCAATACAATAAAACCTGAGTGAGACTTTACTAAAATCAAGAATACCTGCTATTTAAAAGACACTGTTTTGTTTTGTTTGATTGAGAAGTCAAATGACAGACTGGGAGAAAAAAGTTTGCAAATGGGCCATCTGATAAAGGACCTGTATCCCAAATATATAAAGAACTTTCAAAACTTAATAATAAGAAAACAAATAATGCAATAAAAAATGGGAAAAAGATTTGGACAGACACATCACCAAAGATTTTATACAGATAGCAAATAAGGATGTAAAAAGTGGCTTAACATCATTAACCATTAGCAAAATGCAAATTAAAGTTACAATGTAGTATCACCATACCCTATTAAAATATCTACTTAGAATATCTAGATATCCCACCCTATTCAGAATATCTAAAATGAAAGACTTACTATAATAAGAATCAGTAAGAATTGGAACAACTGGAATTGTCATCACACCCTGTTGTTGGAACTCTGAAAAAGGTAAATATACACCTACCACACGACCCAGCCATTCCACTTCCAGTTTTCTACCCAACAGAAATAAAAGCATATGTCTACACAAAGATGTGTACATAAATGTTTATAAGAACTCTATTGATAATAGCCAAAAAATTGGCAACAACCAAATGTTCATTAACAGATGAGTGGATAAACACATCGTGGTATATCCATACAATGGAAGAGTATTCAGCAATAAAAGGAATGAATTCTCAAAACATAGAACAACACACATCAATCTCAAAATAATTATGTTGAGTGAAAAAAGCCAGACAAAAGAAGTACATACTTTATAATTCCTTTGTACAGGATTCTGGAAAATACCAACTAATACACAGTGGCAGAAAGCAGATCAGTGATTTTCTGAGGATGGGGGTAAAGAGCAATTAAAGAGAGATTAAAGAACCTGAGAAAGCTTTTTGATTGTAGATAGCTTTACGAGTCTATACACATGTGGAAACTTACGAGTCTATACATATGTGGAAACTTACTAGGTTCTACACTTTACTTACAGTTTATTGTATGTCAATTATACATCAGTAACATTGTTAAAATATATATGCATAAAGATGTTCATTGAACTATTATTTATAGTAACCCAAAATGGAGACCACAAAATGTCTAACATTTTGTTAGGAAAATGGCTAAATAAATAATGATGCATACCTAAAATATAATTATCATGCAATCACTAAAATATCGTCAGTGTTTAACAACATGGGGAAAAGGTTGCATCACAATGCAAATATTAAGAATAGAGAGAATTCAAAATTCTAGATTAGAATGATCTGATTTTGTAAATTAAAAGAAAATAGAAACAAAACAGGAAGAAAAATGTCACTTTAACATCCGTGATGCCCTGGCTGCCTCACAAGAACAGGCATTTTAACATCTATATTCAACTTTTGTTCTTGCTGTCTTAGATCCACTCATCTTTGACTTGAATATAAAATCTATTAAGGAAGGGGAAAAGAAACCGCTACTAAAACTTTTTTATATCCTGGTAAATGCACTAGAATTTTGGTACATTGTTTTGTTGATTTTAATGAAAGTATATATCTTAACCATAGATCAAATAGGATCTTTAAAAGGCAATGTTTTTGCAGTTTCTGTTCTCCCCAGGTAACTGATATCATGAAAAATTAATTACCTCTATCTGGCCTCTGCTTGGGCAGACTTGGATATATATGAGGCTGTGTTTGTACACTGTTGAGAAGGGGCCATTTCAGAACTCCAGTAATGCTGTTATACCTTATACAA